ATATGATGTTACCAATTCAATCACAAAGACACACTTACTGTGTGACGGCAGCCGACTGGTTAGATGGACTGGCAGTAGTTGGGTTGGGACAGTCTCCATTCTTCTTTCCTTTTTCATTGTCTTTATCATTGCCTGTCCCTGTGTCTTGTACTGATAGCCCCTCTATTGGCACCTTAACCGCTTCACTGAAAGAAACAAACAAACAATGAACAAACTAGAATGACAGCCAAGGGATTTGTCAGCGCAATTGAAGTCATAGAGCACAAGTGTAGATAATAGTGGCTAAAGTTCATCACAGTTGGTTTCCACTCAGTCCACACAGGTCCTAAACATGTCCAGTGGACTAAGTAACCCATGTGTCCACTGGTCTGGTGCTGCCAACCATAACAGACTCTAACTGCAAAGGAAAAGATAATTCCTCTCAGATTAAGATTAATTTGGGAGTAGTTAGGTTTTTAGCTTTAACTCATCATCATGAGTTAAGTGTTGATTGCATAATATAATGACTAAAGAACATTAACATCACCTCATTTTAATTGGTTCCCTATAAGCCTTGTTTTTACTTTGCTTTAGTGTTCCCTGAAGTTTTCGCTGGAGTAGTGAAAACAGACAAAAGACCCTTGTTGTCTGAGAAGCCAAAACTTTTGTTTCTTATCCTTTCAATGTTTTAATTGGCCCACCAATTCAGCATCCCACTGTGATGTGTCCTGGTAATCCTGATGGCCAGTCAGAGTGTAGGAGAGTTACAGGACTTAAAGGGGTTTAATTGTAGCATGCTTAGGTGCACTGTTTGTTAGTAACTTGCTTATGTACTGATTTGTTAAGATGCTGATGTTGGATTGGTAGTAGCTTTTGTTCATCGCATGCTATCTGACAAACTGTTAGTAGTGTGGGTGCTCTGATAGATAACAATTCATATAAACTTGAGTCTCATCAGTGTTAGGACTGAGACAAAAATCATCTGTATCATCAAACCACAGTGAATGATCATACACTGCTCTCAGTTTTTGTTGTAACTGTACAAGGTAAGAGACCCTTAGATCTCTAAAATGCTGAGTGAACTGTTTCATGCTGGGCGTCATTGTTGTCATTTGAGGATATGGGATGAGCCTAGCATAAGAACCTGCAAGTCACCAGTTGTAGGTTAGTACATTTTTAATGAATGAAACTTGGCCTACATTATGGCACAAGCGATTGTTACTCCAAATCCTGTTAAACAAATCAAGCAAACAAAAACATGTGGCACATCTGTACTTGTGATGGCCTCTTAAATCCTTCATACAACTTCCGGAAAGCATTCCACACACCAGAGTGAGAGACATACCGTCTGACTGCTGGTCTGAATACTCTGGAGTCAAGGGGAGATGAGAAAGGAGGGAACAGACAGGAGGAGGACGATATCAGAAGAAAAACAGAGAAGGTGGAAGTAAAACTGTGTGGGAAACGTGTGGAAGGGAAAGGGAAAGGAGGGCTCTGTAAAAGCACGTGAAAGTACATTCGGAAATGGAGGACACCAATCAGAAAGAGCTGCTGCTGGTCATTGGTGCGTGAGCATGTGTACCTGCTGAAAACCGCCCTCTCATTTTTAGCATCCATGGTTAGCCGAATGGTCTCCTTGCCAGCACCAGTAGTGATGGTCTCCGTGGTGACCGTCTCACTGGATGAAGACACCGTCTTGCCTTCTTCCTCATCGCTGTCAGAACTGCTGGAGGAAGAGCTGTCTGATGCCACCAGTGGAGCTTTTCTCGCCACACACACACTCCACACACAAGCTGCAGGCAGATAGAAGAGGCAATCCTCTCATCTCAACATTGGACGTATGTTTGCGCCATGGGAAAAGTGAAATGATCACAGAGATTAAGAGAAGGAGCAGATAAGAGCTGCCACATGCACATAGATTTTGGTCATGTGACTCTATGGTCACATTACTTTTATCTCAGCAGAGGTTTACGAACTGAAAAAAAACCTATGTTCTAATCCTGAGCAAATGTAGTTCTTACGAAATGGCCACAAGTCATTACGCTACGTGTATTGTATTTCATCTGTAATTGCAGTTGTCAGTTTTAATATTTCAACATGAGTATTTTAAACCACAAAATGCATATTTATATCCATGTCAAGCCTGCCTGTGTAGATGATTAACATCCATCTGTGGACATGACATATGCACTTGAAAATATACTTTTAATCAGTGGTGGAGAACAAAGGCATTTAAATGATCTATTAACCGACACTTTAAGACAACGGCCACACTGTAGAAACTTACGGGTCTGGTTTGTTTTGGTGTTTTCTGATCCACTGAGCTCAGAGTCCACTGGAGAACTGCATCTAGGGCCTGTTTCAGAGCTGGGAATTTATGACAGATAAGAACCTGCTCAAGCACAAGACACATTTTTTTTTAATTTGAGGTGGATTATTTTCATTATTGCGTGTTTGTAGTCATGGTTAAGTTTACATGCAACCATTTTCTGCGTTTTTCAGAGTTTTGATTAGCAATGCAGAGTAATCAATTCATTCTCATGTCAAACATCACTGGGAAGAAAAAAAGACGCCAATTCCACATAAACTTAAACTGCATTATTCAGCTTGATATAGGCAAAGTATTTGATGTTATTTTTAAGTATTTTGCTTTTTCAAGTGTTGACGTCTTTAAGTATAGCAAAAACTATTATGCTGAGGCTTTTGTTACGAGTATAATCTGTTTTCTATTAGATTTAATTGCACAACAGTTTAATCAGAAAAAATCTCTACAGTGCTTGACTTCAGGCAAGTTTGCAAATGAGCTCACATGTTTAGACCACACCCGGACTCACCAACAAAAAGGCTGGAAGTCCGTAAATTTGGCCCACCCCTTCTCCTCTCCATCTGTGGCAGCTGGTTGAGAGAGTGGAGTGTCCCACGCTGCAAAGCCCACGCCTGCTGCAGGAGCCTTCGAGTTCACTTCCCCAAAGTCTGCTATCCAGCCAGTGCCTACGTATGAACCCAGACACATCTGCATGAGTTTCTTATACAAAACCTGTTTTAGTCCTGAGGACGTGGACGAAAACCATTTTGCTTTACAATACAATTAAACTCGTCTCACTCTTTGCTGACTCAGTCTGGCCTTGGCTTGAGAAAGGATCTAAGGCATCTTTGTGCTCCTCTCCTTCCTCTGAGTCTGCTGCGCTGTCAGAGACCTCAGTGCCAGAAGCTGAAGTCCTGTCACAGGCCTTAGTGGCTGCTTGGTTCTGGGAGAACTGTGACCCACCAAACCTTGAAGAAACAAACAATGCATTTTAGTACGTGGTAGTACTCATTCAAAACAAATAATTCCAAACACTGAGACCATCTGCATTTCTGATTATGCATTTACCTGTTTCGGGACTTTGTTTGAGTTGCATAGTTGATCTCTTTCTCCTCCCAGATGTCCTCTTCATCATCATCAAAGGGTTGAATCCTCTCCTTGGAACAGGCCTCAAACACAGCAGTATTAGCCTGCAAAGGACAGGTGGGAAACAACATTAATGTTGTACAACAAATGCTAGGAAGAAACCTAAATTAATCATTCATTTTTTAAGCATTCAATCAAATCCCTGTAATGTAAAAAGTATGTAAAATTCTATGTGAGATGTACAAGTAAGGAATTGTATGTGTCTTTTTTTCTGTTTAAAATTTACATCCGAAAAAAAATATAGGAATACAACTATGTAGTACAAATGTGTGAATAAACTGGAGAATGCAAATAAACTCACACTGTCCTGGCCTGAATCGATGTTGATATTTATCTCAGCAATCCTGTCAAACGTCGCCCTGAAATAACATCAGAAACCATTCTATTAACACACAGTGACAAGATGACACTGACACACAGAAAGTGAATATCAGTGCATTTACCCGATGCTGTCGTCATGATCAGTGAATTCCTCGTCATTGAAGCCAAACTGATCCACAAAGTTAGCAGTCATCTGCTGAATCTGGTAGTCTGAAAAGGCCTAAAAGAAACATCACAAAGTTGGATTATCTGATGAAAGCTGACAAAAGGAGCCCCACTGTGTGTTTTGTATGAGTACCTGCTGTAGTGTCAGTTCTTTAGGGAAGGGGCTTTCCATATCATCTTCTGAAGAAGGACGTGGGTTTCCCGTGCCAACCTAAATGGGGAAATGCCACCACAAATTAACTAGGGTTGGGTTTTAAAATTTTATTTTGCATTTTTTCTATCTTCATTTCAATAATCCAAAATAGACTCATAAAATCCCAAGATCAATCTTTTATTATATGCCTTTTACAGTATATGGTCTATTCCCCTGGATGCATGAAGCTTTAAAGCCATCAGTCTTGTGCAGCCAGCCTTTTTATGCAACAATATCTGGCCTCACAAGGGACATTAAACGTGGTGGGAGCTGCTCCAGTGGAGGCACCACCAAGCCTGAAGACAGACGAAAAGATGTGCAAAATGCAGGTGAAATACTGAGGAAAGCATCACAACAAAAACCTCTGAGGTGAAACAAACCCCCTCATGAAAGAATTTGCCTTAAAGTCACATTTTAATTCTGTGTATCCTCAAAAAATAACTGAATGAAAATATTTTTAATAATACCCCAGGTCAGAGGATTCATTGTCTTTTATATTTAAGAAAAATTGGTATTGTAGCTGTAATGTCCTTAACCAAATCACCACTGAATTGAATAGAGACTTTTTGAATCAGAGAAATAGTTTAGGGAAACCAGTGGTAATACCAAGCCCTAAATGTAACATTTAAAGTTTTACATGTTTGTATGATTACAACCAGCTACTGTCAATATTTATCTGAGTTTACCAGGTCTATGGTGTTCTTCCTATTGGTCTCTGACAGGGTCTGGTCCACAAAATTTTCCCAGCGTCCTCTGTAGTCCTCTGGCAGCTCTACATCCAAAACACAAGGACAGCAGCAATGAGGAAACAATACTCCAGCTGAGAGACACGTGCATTAATTTACTCTTATAACTTTCTTCTATTTTCTCCTTTTATTTATTTATCACTATCGATTAATACATCAATATATGTATGAATACATTTTTTATCTACTGTCCACACACACACACACACCTGTGATGAGGCTACTAATCTGTGTATGAACTGGGCCCTTTTCCAGGTTGTGGACGACTGTGTTGGCAATCCTGGTCAGATGCCCCATATACCCTCTTCTCATACCACCTTCTGATCTGGAAATAGAAAAAAAACACACTTTAGTGTAACACAAGTCTCCATATTCCCAAAATCCACAGAATCATCATCTCACAGCTCCTTACTGTATTTTATCGTTCTCCTCCCAAGCCTTTAGAATCCTCTGGACAAGGTGGCAGTGCTGAAACAACTTGTGAGAGAAAAACAAGGGGTCAATCGATAGTTTTAATCCAGCAAGAGCCACATCGGCCCATCCAGTAGATCAAATGCCACGTAAGCCTCTAGCTACAAACACAGACACCTACATGAGTCACCATTAAGTTATGTGCAGAGTTTTCAGGGGTGATTGAAGGTTCTGGAGTGGGGGTCTCAGCAAAAGCCTGCTCTTGTGATGGATCCTGATGAAGCCTGAATTTGTCCTGAGATCCCAAACCAGGCTGGAGTCTCATTTCATGGGCACAGGGTCGGAGGATGGCTGCAACACAAAGCTCCACTTGGAGGTGCAGGAAGTTGTTCCATGTGTACTTGAAGAACAAGTCCTGAAAATCATTGATCATTGCTTTGAACAATTTTCACATTATAATTTGAAATTGCTGCATTTTGAAAGTGTTTTTGCTCATCTCACCAGAAGCAGGTCCATTGTATTAAGTCTGCAAAGTTCCTGTGCTACGACTGCATGGCTGGCAGAGCTGGTGTACAGCAGAGAGGCAACCAATCTGGCTACGTGCAGACGTGTGTTTCCCAGTGGTTCCTTCAGCACACCCAGGCTTGTCAGTATAGGATGTCTCTAAACATGTAGAAAACACACAGACATGCTTACTAAAAGTGTATACAGAGGGCATATAGGGATTTAGGAAACAATGGCCCGAAGCTTGAGCAGAGTTTTGTCATACTGGTGTGATAACAGTAAAGCAAAAGGTATCTATGTGGCAGTCAAACATAATCACTGAAAAAGAGGTTTGCTGCTCATCAAACTCAGCTTTGAACTTAAAATATCTTGATATTTATAGCGTGCTCTGACTTTCTTAAAATGAAAGAACTTGCCATTGTGAATCTTAGTGTGAGGCAAGCCCCTCTTCAGTTTTGATCCCATGAGTTTGGCACCTGAATGAAATCATACAACTGTACAGGAACATCTTGATTTTTCGATTAATAACTGTCGCTCTGTGTTTATCATGAGTTATTTCATATTACAACAGCTAATATCACAGGCTACTGGTGCCTGAAAGTTTCATTTTTGCTAATTTTTCCTACTATCAATTGCAATTGGGGAGGCAGTAGCTCACTGCATAGCGACTTGGCTTGGCCGGTTCAAGTCCAGCATGGACGGAAGTTGGAGAGGTGCCAGTTCACCTCCTGGGCACTGCCGAGGTGCCCTTGAGCAAGGCACTGAACCCCCAAATTGCTCCCCGGGCGCTTTCATGGCTGCCCACTGTTCCGTGTGTGGTCACTGTGTGGATTGTGTTCCGTGTGTGCTCCTTTCACACGGATGGGTTAAATACAGAGGTCAAATTTCCCCATGTTTGCATGTTGCATGCTGTGTTTGGGACCATAAAGAGTAATCTTAATCTTGATATACATGCAGTCCAATTAACATTTACCTTAGGAGGCTCCAGAAGCAGCTGGTGGAAGTGTACCAGGTGTGGTTCAATGGCCAACAGAATGCTGCTGTTTACAGTGTAACTTCTCTCAAATCCCTGAGCATCCATTACACCATCCACCCTGTCAAACACATATCAAAACAGAATGTTTTTTAAAAAATGGTCAAACAGGAGAGATGCAACCAACTTTACCTGGCAATTAGGAAAAATAAAAAAAATAATGGAAGTCAGGGATCGAATGAAAATAACATTTGGGATCCTTATGGAATGAAACTATTTACATTATTTACACACTGTTTAAAACTGCTTACAACTATCTCACTCACACAGGCCTCCTGATTTCCAGCAATGTGAGAAGAACTTGAATCCCATTGACGATACAGCTCTCAGTCCTTTCTCCCGAGAACATATTCTGCAACAACTGCTCCACACACTCCTGCCTGCAGAAACAATGGAGTATATTGTCATCTCCACATCCTTTAATAGAGTGTGTTTGCATGTGGTTGCACATATGTCTGACTTACGACTCCAGCACAGTCAGCAAAGGGTCAGGCTGTGAAATCTCTTGGAGCTGATTGGCCTGGTCTCTGCTCAGACGAATGATGTCGCACAGAGTCTGAGAAGCATTGGACTGCCTCTGTGAGAGAAAAACCAAAACACATCAACATTCAGTCTCGTGGTCTTTCTATTCATGGGTCTCTAACGGTGAGACAGTATATTTTATACCTCTTCATCTCTCTCAGGGTGAATGAGCTCTATGAGTCTCTCGGCCAACTTCTCTGCATTCAGCCACTGATAGGAACAAAGGCTCACATTATAAATGCACACAATATCAGAGTATAATCTGTAAAAGCTTGAATCTGGGTCTGTTTCTCTCATACAGTAAGAGTCTCAAGTCGAAGAGGGGGTGGCTCCACACAGCTGATGAGTCGTAGGAGCACATCCATCATGGCTGATGTATCAATATGCTTCAGGACCAGGGAAAGGAATCCCTCTTTCTTTCGCAGAAAATTAATCACCTAAACAAAGCAGAGGAAGCACCATTGCACAAAATATAACACTGCCGTCCACACAATTAGAAAAATGCAGCCTTGTTGTCAACAATTCTCTTTTGGATTAATTTGTAGAGAGGAAGAATATTATCCTGAATAAGTGTGATATTATTTCTTTAAGGACACATTGATAAAAGGCAGACATTTCAAACATGTCCACACGGTGCATATCAGACAGTATGCTCTTTTAATTCTGGTCTGTCAGATTTTATACAGCCCAGTCAATTTCACTGTGCCTTATAGTCATTTAGCTGCATGGTTGGTTCAGAACATGCTCTTCAGACAGACACGCAAACTGACCTTGACATCCTCAGGCCTTATCCCTGCCACTAACTGGGTGGAACCTGCTTTGTGTGATGGAATAACTGCATTTCGGCATTTTGGCATTTTAAGATAAATAAAATTTAAAGGTCCAGTGTGTAAGAGTTAGGTGAAAGAGAACTAGTGGCAGAAATTTAATGTAGAATAATCCTAATGATGTTTTCACTAGTTCGTTTTATCTAAATTATATCAATTGTAGTTTTCTTTACCCCAGAAAAGGCTCTTTATATTAAAATACTTTGTATTTACATTGAGGGGACCCTCTCTACAGAGGCCGCCATGTTTTTTACAGTAGTCCAGACTGAACAAACTAAACACCTTTTGAGTTTTTCTGACAACTGAAGTCTTCCACAGGTTCTGTTTCATGTTTGGAAGGGGAGGGTGAGGTGAGGGGTGTTCAGCTGCAACAAGAAACTTCTCCACTAGATATCACTAAATTCGACACACTGTACCCTTAACCACCATGTTGGTTGCGAGTAATCCCCAGCTTATCTAATGTAATCGGCCCTCAAACTTCATGACATAAATCTCTACAGCACACAAAAGTAGCTGTCGTCTTCTCTGAGTGTGTGATGGTGTCTGTTTGTGTTACCTGCTCAGTTTTCCGTGTGATGAGGTTCCCAATTGTCTTGCTAAAGAAAGACGCCAGGAGGGGGTTAAGTGGGGATGGCTGCTCCAGGAAGGCATACAGAGTTTCCAGCAGGGACTCCTCATTACCCAGCTTATCATTGATCACTCCCACATCACATGTCAACAGCTCACAAGCTATATTGGGATACCTGTGATAAAGTAACAGGGTGATTATCAAATGAGCAACTAAGTAGGTTTTTCTATTTCTTTCCATTGAATTATTGGTGGTACAGTCCACTTGATATCTCAGCTCTACTTCAAAAGGACACAAAAGATATATAATAAAGTGCAGCACCAACAAGACACAGGGGCACCTACTTGAAACGCTGTGTCTCCTCTCCACCAGCAGGGGGCTCTGTAGTAATCATACAGACCAGCTCCTGCATGCACTGGTCCTGGCACAGGAACAGGAGAAGTCTACAAATCCGCAATGATGACAAAAGACACACCACTTATTACTAGCAGGTCTGACTTTAGGAAAAGTGTAATTATATTTATGTCCCGCTGAAATTCTACAGCTGACAGTGAACAGACCTCCTGTTCTGAGCCTTGCACTCCTGCAGCACATCTTCCTCATCCATGAGCTCAGCAAGTGTGACATCCTCCTTGTCCAGTATCGCCTCCAGATGAGAAGATGTGTGCAGGTCAAACTTCCAAAACATGGCTGACGTCACCGGCACATACACTTAGCTGCTGACCAAGAGAGAATGCATCATGGAGATCAGTATCATGACTGTGCAGCATACATATACAAGTTAACAAATTACACTATTTCTATCTGTGAGTCGAACAATTGATTGTGTGGTACAATGCATAATTTGTATGTACACTCTTACTTTTGAACAAGGAGTGGTAGCCTCAGTCAGGTCTTGCTAAATAGCCATCAAGCCACATCAATCAGCATTAGCAAATTCACACGATGAAGAAACAAACACCAGCTTCACTCATACTTTAACACTGGACACATGACACAAGGAGAGAATGTCGACCTGGTAAACGAGACAAAAAGAAAACAACACACGTGACAATCACTTCCAGGAATATTTGCTGTGTTATCCTCAGAGCCAGAGGAAGAGTTGAAGTCAGCAGAAGTGCAGAGACACGGCTGGCAAATCTCTCTGCAGTGTATGTGTATTGCGTTACTGCACATCTGTACTACACTGACATTACCAAACCTGCTTGGAGAATGGCCTCTCGGGTACGGATGCATCAGCAAATAATAAGTGGGAGAGAGAATGATCAACACACAAAGTGAATCGCATGCACAAAAACACTTAAGTGTGTGTGATATGTGTGTAATACTTGAAATAGAAACAACTGTGTGGGCCAGTGGCTGAACACTGTAAACAGAAGCTGTCACTGGTCAATGCCTTTGAAGGAGAGACATTCACATCACATCCCCCAGGACCACATTACACATCACATACACTAAAGAATCAGTCTTCATACAACCAGCATATGAGTATGCATTAGTCCATTTACATTTAACAGTTGATTCACATGGCATGTTTATCCAGATTGGGGATAAGGCCTCCCATGAAAATAAATGTGATATTGGAAGCTGCCAAGTCAGCAGTCACACACTACAACATGTGGGTCAATGATTTAGAATATAGGACAAGCACAAGGGATATTCAATATCTTGTCCTAGATTCTAAATCACAGTATAACACGTGGGTCAATGCATCGTATTACAATGTAAAAGGAGGCTCATTTCTAGACATCATTACATTTGATTGAATAACATGAACTATCTCTGTTCACCCCTCTTTCGGGAGGCATGCTAAAGCTAAACGAGCAGGTGTTTTAAAGCTCACACTGTCCATACAAGGTTTTAAGTGTCTCCTCATAAATAAATGTGAATTTTTAAATTTCCTACAACAGCACAACAACAAAGGTCGGGCCTCTCCCGCCCTGAGATCAGCTGGTGACGGTCACTGTTAGCTATGTAGCAGGGGAACCATTCAATCAGTGCTGGCTGGGGTTAATTAGCTTATCCGTGTTGTTATCATAGCCCGCGTTAAGTTAGCTTCATGATACCGACCTCTGTCTGTACCTGTTCCACCGCTTATTGTCTTTCACTCGCCTCGGCTGCACGTCGTCAATCGGCCCGCTAGCAACCTCTCTCTCACGCGGCTAACGTTACCGGAGTAATTCGGTAACGTTACCGGAGGGATACGGCGATTGGATGTTAAGCTAGCACGGGTTATTTATCGCAGCGGGGCCATAGATGGTGGAGTCGATGTCCTCCCGAGCGGTGACCGTCCTCATCTCGCACCGGTTTCACGTTAGGTCACATGGTCCGTTTGTTTTTCTCTCTCCTCCATGAACACCAGCTGCTCTTACCTCTTCTCCATCACTGTATCCGTGTTCATGTGCAGACTCCAGCCCGGTCCCGGTCACCCGAAGGAGGCCAGCGGCTGATTATTCATGACTGCGTCGTTAGCTCGCCCGGCTCTCGGTTTCCCTCAATGCTGCTGCTGCTGCACCGCCGTTACACGGAGGCTGGAGCGGCGCTGACAGTGTTGTAGTCAAGCAGACAGGCCGGATGTAAATATAAGAATATAACTGTCATATTTACACATCAAAATGGCGGACACCGAAACGTAATCAAAAGTTCGACTAAACGCTGAAGATGTTGATCTGTTGTGTCACCCTGAAAACTGATGTCTGGTTATTTTCTTTTTGAATATTCACATTTATAAACCAACACAACACTGACTCATACCACAGAATAAACGTTTAGATTGTGGTAAAGAATGTGATGCATTAACAAATGCAATAGTTTATATTATATATTATCACAATATTGTTGTTGTCTCTAGACAAGTGCGACAAGTGCCTAGGGGCTGTCCCGCTGTTAGGTCAGGTCACACTTTTGCGAAAAGCCCAGGGACCTTGTTGATTAAACTGCTTGCAACAAAAGCAAATGGAAGAACCACCCAAACAAGAAACAGGACAACGCAATAGATTATGCAACTTTCTATTCAGAGCCCCTGTACTGGGTTTCCCCACTGCCAGGTTAAAGGTTAGCATTAACACAGCATCTCTGCATTGTGGAGGTGTATGATGTGGCAAAAACACCAGTACTGGGAAATACAACAGAAAACAAATACCCTACCTGCAAACAATATTCCCTCGATTTCATATGTTTGCAGCCTTTGAAGACTTCATAAGGATTGTTAAGAAATCTTTCCTGTCTGGAAATGTTTTTCTGAAGTGAAAATTTTTAATTTAAAAGCAGAATATCAAAAGAAGAGCGGTCGCTGGTGCACATGAGCAGAAAACTTGTTTGTGATGCACACAAGAGTATGAATTTTGAAGCTGTAGATATCTGTTAGAAAAATCTGCAAAAATGTAGTCCCTACACATATCTATATGTGGATACCTGTAATAAAGTAACAAGGTGATTATCAAGGTGGCCATTGATTCGTGTTTCTATTTCTTTTCATTGAATTATTGGTGGTACACTTAGATAGTTGGATCAAGAACATTTAATTTTGAAATCTGAGGCCACTGGACATGACATGAAAGATATATAATAAAGTGCAGCACCAGCAAGACTCATTTTGAAAACGTGTTTGTGCATTCTACTCCACTCTCCCACACTTCTAAAGCTTATTTCAGGTCTATGTGGAGAAGGCAGCCTATCAGATCCTCATGTCCATATTGAAACAGTGATGATACAAAAAACAGGAAAGTGACCTTCATGCATTGTTGTGGAACCCACCTGTAGGACGTTCCCTAGCTCCCTTTCTATCAATTAGTCAATTTAGCTACAAATGTAAATGCTGGTGTTTAAACATTAATACATGTTTTTGCATTTACTGTGTTAAAATGTACTTACAACCCATTTTTATCTCAATTGCGCAGTCGAGGACGTTTGCGGGCATGGAACATAAACAACACAGTGTTTGTTATACTGGTTATTGATTTGAAAAAAAAGTGCAAATAAAACGTAATATTTTGTTTTAAAACAAAAAAATTGCGTGTTTACGTTGTTAATGTGGTATAATGTCTTTAGAATAATATGGCTGCAGCTTTGGGGCACCTGACTCCAAGTGGGTGTTAGCGACAGCAGGATCTGGCAACCCTGCACGGCCCCAGCCGGTAGAGTCTGCTCTTCGCTCAGCTGAAGCTCCGCAGAGGGTCTTTCTGTGGTCGCCGGTTAGCATCATGGCCAACGTCGTGGACACCAAGCTGTACGACATCCTCGGAGTTTCACCATCCGCCTCTGAGAACGAGCTTAAGAAGGTACGAGGCGTCTGAAATGAAAAAGAGGGATTTGCCGGTTTGAGAGCAGAATAAAGGAGGAAGAGAGGTCACCAGCGAAATGTGGCCTAAAAACAAGCTAATCGACGTTGCTAGTGTGCTAACCTAGCAAGGGAGCTATGCTAGAAAACGGCCAAATACTTAGTGGCTCGATGTGTTTTTTTAACCCAAAACAGTAAAGCTACATATCGACGAAGTTAATTTGACTTTTGGTGTTCGTCGTTTTCATCGTCTGTACCTAAGTGAATTCGTAGATGTAGTTTGTTAGCGCTAAACTCTAAATACCCGGCTAACCACGAGTCTGATAGCCTCCCGGCTACCAGATGATAAATTCCAGTTAATAACCGTCACCAAATCGGAAGCAATACGCGTTAGCTCAACGGTTCTCTCCGGTGTATGCGCCAGTGTAGTAAACCCTCGCGTCAGTGAAACATTTGGTAACGCTAAACGTGGTGTGAAATGTATCCAGAGGAAATGGGTTATGGTTGCATTTCCTAGCTAGCGTTAATGTAGCTACTGTAGTTAGCATCACGCACGTCTCTGTGTTCTCCACAAAGTTCACACAAACATCAGGTAGTCACGAAGTGTTCATAATCCACAACACTGCGTCGCTTTCCAAACATCGCCTCGGACTTGTTATCACATGTGCAACCATCGAATTTCAAGTCATTTAATACAATCAAGTAATTCTGTACATTGTATTGAGATCGCTGCACGATCGACACTGCATACCACTTGTTTTTCCTACTCAAATTAATCATGCTGGGTTAACTAGCGACGATGTGCTCCCCTTCAAAACCCTTCTTAATGCCGAAATGTTAGTGAACTCCTAATATACCAGAATATCATCATAGATAGTCGTCAAAATTAAACATATCTGCGGTTAAAGTAGGAAAACTCAGAATATGCGGAATTTTGAACGGGGTTTTGTCGACGTCTTCATCACACTTGAGTGGCTGAGGTGTCAGAAGCAGAGAGGCTCTCGTCCTGATGTTTTTGACAGCAGGCCAACAAGTCCAGGGCTTGTCCTGTCACGACAGTTAATAGGGTTAGTGATTTTAGTTATTAAAGACATTGTTCATATTTCTGTTTTTTGTGTATTGCAGGCCTACCGTAAATTGGCTAAAGAGTACCATCCTGACAAGAACCCTGATGCTGGAGACAAGGTATGATGCACCAAAGCATGTCACTGTAACTTAACCTATGACATTATTCGCAGCAGGAGCTCAATTCCGAGAAACAATGCCACATCAGTATCATAATCACACAGCCCAACTCTAAGGATTAACACAATGAGTGCACAGTACATGAAATGGATTTTCCCTCGAGAAGAGTACAACAGTTCTTTATTTGTACTGCTCTGTTCCTTAGATGTTGCAAACGTGACGCAGGAGTAGCCTGTCTTTTAAATTTCTTTTTAACTTAATAAGATAGTCTCTTCAAAAACAAAACCTCTTGGCCTCCATTCCTGTGATGTACTGACTGCTTTTGTATTACGCACATGTTTTGCAGTTCAAAGAGATCAGCTTTGCATATGAAGTACTGACAAACCCAGAAAAGAAGGAGCTTTATGACCGCTGTGGCGAACAAGGGCTACGAGATGGAGGAGGCGGAGGGCCTGGCATGGATGATATCTTTTCTCATATTTTTGGCGGAGGACTATTCGGGTTCATGGGGGGACAGGGAAGAGGACGCAATGGAGGCAAGAGGCGAGGAGAAGACATGGTACATCCTCTGAAGTAAGTATTCTTCTTTGACCCCGTTTGTGTGATTCAGTGGCTGCTTCAATTACAATATATTATTGTACACACCCCGTATTTCTTTTGTCTCACAGAGTTTCTCTTGAAGACCTCTACAATGGCAAAACCACCAAATTGCAGCTTAGTAAGAACGTGCTCTGTGGTGCCTGTAATGGGTGAGTCAGCTTTTAATGTTTTGGTCTTATTATTTAAAACAGCATATTGGTATGTAGCCCGGACTGATGGTGATTTGTCATATTCTTCTTCCTGCTAATAACACTGCACATAATTGTTTGCCTTGTAGTCAGGGGGGTAAGGCAGGAGCAGTGCAGAAGTGTGTGGCATGTCGAGGACGAGGCATGAGAATCATGCTCAGACAACTGGCCCCTGGGATGGTCCAACAGATGCAGTCCGTCTGCACAGACTGCAATGGAGAAGGTAATATATTCACTTCACCCACATATTGGAAGGGTGATGTATAGTCATGATCAGAACAGCATTTTGATTTTGTCCAATTTTGTTTGTGCACTCGTGCAGGTGAGGTGATCAATGAGAAGGACCGCTGCAGAAAGTGTGAGGGTCATAAGGTGTCTAAGGAGACTAAGCTTCTGGAGGTGCATGTGGACAAAGGCATGAGGCACGGACAGAAGATCACATTCACTGGGGAAGCTGACCAAGCACCAGGCGTTGAACCAGGAGATATAGTCTTGGTGCTGCAAGAGAAAGAGCATGAGGTAATCTACCTGTGTGCGCTTGTTGAAAAAGAGAATATGTAATTTGAAAATTCCACCTACAGGAAGTTGACAGGGAGTGTTCTTGAAGTTATATGTTATTAGTTGAACAAACCCCAATCATCAAAACAAGTTTACTAATCGTTGGTTGCATAATTGTACATACATTGTTGAGCATTATAATGTTCAACAAAGATTCAGGAAATTATTATTATATAAGTTTCTGATTATTGTTAAGGCATTTTTCATCATTGTTTGTGGGAAATCTTTTTACTAGTATATGTTTAATGAACCTAAGAAATAACTTTGTTCAAAACCAATCTATATCAGGAATTCCGCCGTGATGGCAGTGACCTTCACATGGTCCAACGCATCGGCTTGGTTGAGGCTCTGTGTGGCTTCCAGATGACTGTGGCACATCTGGACGGACGTCAGCTGCTTGTTAAATACCCACCTGGCAAGGTCATCGAGCCCGGTAAACCATCTTCATACAACTTTACTGGATTTGATCTCTTTTATTGCAGCATTGCTCTATTCCCAGTGACCATTTAAGTGAAAGGGGAGATTATTGCTTTTACTGTTTCATGCTATTAAGGA